TGTTGGGATCACATTGGAGTGCTGTGGGGTTTGCTGACATCACATTGNCACACTGGAGGGGCTGTGGGATTTGCTGATATCACATTGGAGGGGCTGTGGGGTTTGTTGGGATCACATTGGAGGGCTGTGGGGTTTGCTGACATCACATGGGAGTGCTGTGGGGTTTGCTGACATCACATGGGAGTGCTGTGGGGTTTGCTGACATCACATGGGAGTGCTGTGGGGTTTGCTGACATCACATTGGAGTGCTGTGGGATTTGCTTACATCACATTGGAATGCTGTAGGGTTTGCTGGGATCACACTGGAGTGCTGTGGGGTTTGCTGACATCACACTGGAGGGGCTATGGGGTTTGCTGACATCACACTGGAGGGGCTGTGGGGTTTGCTGACATCACATTGGAGTGCTGTGGGGTTTGCTGACATCACGTGGGAGTGCTGTGGGGTTTGCTGACATCACATTGGAATGCTGTAGGGTTTACTGGGATCACACTGGAGTGCTGTGGGATTTGCTGACATCACATTGGAGGGGCTGTGGGGTTTGCTGACATCACGTGGGAGTGCTGTGGGGTTTGCTGGGGTCAGATGTGCTGGTGCAGAGGGGTCTGGCTCCTGTAGGCAGCCCCCTGGTGCTGGTGGCCACGGGGTGTTTTGTGCAGTGGTTTTGTTTAGGAATGCTGAAACCCTTGGGATTGTCTTTTCCCGTTCAAAGAATCCAGTTGTTGTGTGTAGTGGGAGGGTTTGTTGTGTCGCTGGTTTTAGTGGAGAACTGGTGGGATGGGGATGGGGGAGAAGGGGAAGCAGGAGCCTTCCTAAGACCTGGTTACAGTAGGAGAGGCTGCTCTGCTGAACCTGTGACTAACCATGATCCTTGAGCTTCCTTAACCTCTGGAACTGAGGGAAAGGGTTAATAGCCATGACTGTTTACTCTGTGCTTGCCACAGAACCAGGCACTCTTTGGGTTTCTGACCCCAGGTTCCAACATCCCAGCTGCAGGAATGCTGGACACTGATGAGACAGCATCTTTTGGAAATTAAAATAATGTGTGAGCCTGAATGGACTTAACACTGAGATTTAAAAAAAAAACAAAACATCACAGAAGTTTTCCTGCCTCTCCTGGCAAGGTGCAAGAGAATATAGATTACTGAGTCAGTATTTACTATTTACTGTATAATATTTACTATATTATTCACTTCCCTTGTGGCATTTGTGAAGAATATCTGTTTTCTGTTTCTCATTACAACTTCTGTAGAAGCTCCTTAACCAGGGTCTGTTCTGATCTTTATTTTAAATTAACACAGACAGCTGTGTTCTCCAGCAATGATTTCACAGCAATGATTTGCTGCTGGTGACCTCTTTTAGCTGTTGCATGAGGGGGGGTTGTCGATAACTCCGGTGTTTCACCGCGTTCACAATCGTTACAGCAACTGAGTTGATTGAACTCCACGAGTGATACTGTCCCCAAAGTGTTGTCCAGATAGTAGGTCATGTCTATAAATAATAGTTATTTGCTGATGCAAATACTAACAACTGCTGAAAATCGTGCATAAATAAAATAACCGGGAGTGTTGTTGGAGTGACAGAGCCCTGATGTGCACACAGAGAGGGACTTTATCAACACTGTACATTCGAGCACTTGAGAGGTTGAAAAACGTGAGAATTAATATTCCCTTAGCAACAGTAATTTCCCCTTTTTTTTGCATCTCCTTGAAGATAACTCTTTAATTATGTGTGCTGTTGTTCCCTGGTAACCTTGATCCTCCACTGCCAGGAGCTGAGTGTGCTCAACGTTCTGATTTGTAGCAAAGAGAGGAAAAAAATTAAATAGTTCAGTTGTTCAGCTCTCAACTGTGGCTGTTCCTTCCTGTCCTACAGCCTCTGTGCCTCTCACCATACTTGTTAATTCTGCAGGTGCCAGCCTTCTCCACTCCCTGGCATTGATTTGTTTGTATTTTTTTTATATTTTATTCCAAGTATTTTCATTTCCTCTTTCCTGCCCTGGAGGATCCCTCCTGCCTGGATCTGCTGCAGGATGCTCTGTGTTTTCCACTGTTTTTACTTGAATGGGCAGGGCAGGGCAGGTGGGAGGGTTGGTGGTCCATGGGCAGAGGGCAAAGGGCTTCCCAAACCAGCCTTACCTGGGTTACAGTGAACCCCTGGGTTTGCCCAACCTGCACTGCTGGATCTCTGTCACAAGGAGAGCTACACACTGGCTGGGGGAGTTCTTAAAATATTCCCTAGAAACCACTGGATGAGGATGAGCCCCCCAGGGTGCCCTGGGTTTCCCCCAAGCTCCTCCTTTGCTGCAGCCACACCAGATGCAGCAGCGCCCGTGAGTCGACTGAAAATTTAGTATCTGCTGAGTCATCTGGTTTATTTTTACCTTTCCCACCCTCCTGAATTCGTTCTGGAAGTTAATTTGCTGTGAGCTTTCTCTCCCCCTTCGTACATGGTGTAACTTGCTGAGATCTGTCCCAGACTCTGGCTCCTGAGCAGCTGCTCCTCTTCCCCACCCCGATGGCTTTGGCAGAGCATTGTCACCATTCTCTGTCCCACCAGTTGAGTGTTGGAGCACGTTGGGGAGCAGCTGCTGCCCAAAGCCACCTTCCACTCTGTTATTCCTGGCCCGGATCCCACATGGAAGTTGAATAAACCACTATTCTGCAAGGAAAAATCATGTTTATCCCAGGATAATTGCAGACCAGCAAGGATGAGTGTGTGCCGTCGTCTTGCGCTACAAAGGGTTGGATGATCTTCTCATCCCCATCTCCTTTGGGTTCCTCTGTGTTGGCTCATTTGGTTTTCTCAGGTCAAATAGGGGAGGAGTGGAATGTCTTAGTTCTGCTCTGGGAGGTTTGGAAGGGGGTTCCCTGTTGTACCCCATGTCTGGTGCCCCCAGCCCTCTGCCTTGGCCAGTTCTCAGGGCTGGGTTTGACACACCCAGGTGATGGTACAGGAGAAGTGTTTCCTCTCCAGGTGGTCAAAGAGATTGATTCACAGAATCATCAGAGATCCCAGACTGGGTTGGGTTGGAAGGGACCTTAAAGCTTATCCCATTCCACCCCCTGCCATGGGCAGGGACACACCTTCCACTAGCCCAGATTGCTCCAAACCCTGTCCAACCTGGCCTTGGACACTTCCAGGGACTGGGGGAACTTTCAGGGATGAAGTTTGTCTTTTGCTGATGATCAGGTGGCTTTGGACAAATACAGGGTTTTACTCCTGATTTTAATATTGAGACTTTGTCTTATTTTGTCTTATTTTGCAATGTTCAGTCTTTTTAATTATTTTGCATTTGGATTTGTGTTCGGAACTCAAAGGTTTTTGTTTTCTCCACGACTTAGAGGTTGACCATGGGAGTTTGCAGCTGTGGGCATTTAGTGATGAGGATGATGATGGTGATGTGACCTCTGTGCACAGCACTGTCCAAACCAGTGCTGGGTGTTACCAGTGCAGATCCAGAGCCAGGGCTCTGCCAGTGCTGCTCTCTGTAGGAAGGCTCAGTGCAGCTAATCCCAAGAGGGTCTCTCCAGGCTAATAAAAGCTCCTGTGGACACATCCCACTTGCAGTGGTGGTTGCAGTGTCATATCCAGAATGGAAAAGGGAGCAGGGGAGGTGTCCTGGCCTGTGGCCCCCCTGACACCTGGCAGTCGATGCCTTATGGGGGAGGGAGCAGTTGGTATAAATTGATACTCGGGGTTGCTGTAGCTGAGTGACCTTCACGTGCAGCTGCTTTGTCAGCAGGGAAAGATGCAAAGGTGACAGAAAATGGCCTTGCTGGCACCTGTTCAAGGTGCCTGAGCAGGGCTTCAGGGAAACTGAGGGCTGGGAAGGGAAGAGGGAACAAAAAACCTCCTCCAGCCTGGGCTGAGATCCTACTTTTTTTTTGGGGGGGGGATAGGGATGGGAGTAGACTGAAATTTTTGGTCCCCGTATCAGTTCTGCTCTTGTGCTGCAATTCACAACTTCCCTTTAAGCCAGACAGAACTCCCATGTAACAGGAGTTGATAAATTACTTTATGGCACAGCAGGACCCTCCAACAAATAACTTCTTTAGAGATATCCAGTTATAAATATATCAGAGTACAGCTGCTTTTAGTAGCATCAGAAAGTTTCAATGCTAAACCCGAGTGTTGAGGTTTTAAACAGCTATTTAAGAATTCAGTTATATCAAAACTATTTTTAAAGGTTCTAAAAGCTTCCCCTTCCCCTGCCCTAAGGGGTAAGAACCACTGAAATACATCCTGCACTTGAAACCCCTGGGTTTGCTGCTTCCCACTGTGCAGAGCTGGGCTTCTTTGTGCTCCCAGCTGCCAGAAATCCCATGAACTCGAGCATCTGTATTGATGGGTGAATCTATTGTTTCTAATCTGGTCAGCTGATCAATGAAGAGCAGCCTGTTAATTAATTGTATAATATTGTACACAAGGTCCCACTCTGCATTTATCCAGATGGATTTGGGATTTGTGAACTGTAGCTGCTTTCCTAAAGAGTTTCGAGAGGATGTAACCAGTGGCTTTGTTCTTCCCAGCCTTCCCAGCTTTTAGCTGACAAATAATTTTAGAGGGACACAGTTTCAAATCTCATAGTTCAATTTTTTTTTTTTTGTTCTCCTAGATCTCTTTATTCCAATGCTCAATATTTTTATATTTTGAGATAATGGTCCAGAGTGGAGGAGCTCGTTGAAGATGCACAATTTTTGTTGAGAAGATGCACGATTTTGTTCTTATTTCATTCAAATGTCCCGGGGGGGTCAGTAGGAGCAATTAAAATCCTCCTCCTATCCTGAGGACCTCACAGATTCCATGTGCAGTGAGCTGGGGAGAAGCTGGAAGGAGCAGCAGAGCCGGGCAGCGCTTTCCCCGGTTCCAGTCTGCCAGAGGGACCTTTTTGTCCTGCCCTTCTCCCCCTCGAGATAGGTGATGGGACTCAAGGAAAAGTTGCATCTGCCTGACCTGTCCACTATGATGTTCTACTTGTGCTGTTTTGGTTCTCATGCAGATGGAGGGAACGAGGAGCCACCAGACCGAAGACAGGCAAGTGTAGACTCCCGTCAGAGCCGAGCTGGGCAAGGTAAACCTGAGTGTTCTTCTGCCTCGGGGACTCGTCTCGTGTGTTCGCCGTCGGTGCCTCCCACGTGTCGTGTTTCTCGTAAAACTGTGTGATCTGAAGGGCTTTGCACCCGCTGTCGTTGCCCCCAAACGTGCTGGCATTCCCAGACCAGACAACCTTTGTGTGGTTGAAGGGGTTTGCCCGAATTCCTCCTGGCTCGGCATGGGTGGACCTGCAGAGTCCGCGTTCCAGAGCGCGGTGTCTCCGTATTCCAACTGGGGAGTTACACACTGGAGCTGGTGGTGCTGGAGTTCTTCAGCTCTTACCAGCCCAAAACAACGCTTAGTTTCCAAGTTTCCACTTGCCTTCCCCTCGATGGCAAAGTGGGAACCCGGCAGGTTCTCCATAACCAGACCATCCCTCTCCAAACCCCGGGATGGGATGGACCTGTGTGTACCTGCCTGGGGACTGAGCAACCCCGTGTTACATCTTCAGCTTTGGTTTCCTTCATCCTGCAGGAACAGGGCAAAAAACTGAGGAAGACAGTACTAAAAATAGGATTTATATTACTAAAATAACAATTGTACAAACTCTTTGTCAAGTATCCATCCCTCAGAGTAGGTTTGGTGGTTAACAGCACACAAAGCCGTGTAATGGGGATTTCTGTCCCTGACAGCACCAGCTCTTAGATCTCTGCTGGCTTAGGTGTCCTTTGAAACAGCTTTACTTAGTTTTAAGCATTTTCTCATTTGTGAGGATTGTGCAAATGCTGGATTTTCACACGGCTTTGAGGCTGAGCAGCATTTTTGGGAAGCAGGGCTCTGGTAGGTGCTACGTGCATTGACTTATTTTCTCTTTGGGATTGCAGCAATAATTTTCCTTGCATTTAGGTTCAAGCCTGTTGTTGTCATGGTGTCCTAATGACTTATTATGGAAGCCTTTTCTCCAGAGCATTGTTCTTTTTTGGCAGTATTCCAGTAGTGCCCGGGCAAAATGAGTGAGTGAAGCTACGGTCAGAACTGGGAGTTAAAAAAACCCTGAAGCCCTGTGAGGTGTCAGCTGCTCTGCTCACATAGGATCTTTTAATTACTGGTTTTAAATTCGTTATTTTGAATTTCCTGCTTTTAAAATAGAGTGAAAATAAAATGAGGAAGGAGCCAGGGACTTTGTAGCTGTGCACACCCCGTGGCCACCTGCGTACGAGGAGCTGTGTTTCAGGGTGCAGATTGAACCCTGATATTGCTCTTCCCCACGTATTCTGAGCTCCCATAAAGTTGCTGTTGTGTTCCTGCTGGAAGCTGAGCCTTCCTCTGCCGTGGCTCCCTGGGATGTCCTTCCCTGTGTCTGGCCCATGTGGTTTCTTGTTATGGAACAGAGCAGCTGAGCTGCTGCTGGGAGCTGCCTCCAACACTCCTTGCACACACTCTGCTCTCTCAGGTTCCCTTTCAGGCTGGATATTCAGGATCTTCCCTGCTGTGGGAAAGGGGTGGGTTTGGGCAGAGGATGTGGGGATTTGTTGCAAATCCTTGTCCAAGAATCACCAACCCATTCCCGTTCAGTGGGTCAAGAAACTACAGGAACTAGCAAGGAGTGTCACCATAAGAGGGGAAAAAAGGGGAAAAGGTCAAAAAAACTTCCAACTTCTTGGAGAAACAAACTTCTGAGCTAAATGCTTCCCTTTGCATCTGTGGGTGCAGTTGTAGATGCAGACTTTCTGCAGTGTGGCAGGAGTCTCTTTGCTCCATAAAATATTATCTTTTAACTTTGCCCTGCTCTGTCCCCATCACTTGCAATCTGTCTGCACGTGTTAATGGGTATTTTTCATGCTGGTGGGTTAAAGGGGTTTATTATCCTTGGGTGAAGCATCCAGCTGAAATGGGGCAGTTGTCTTCTTGCTCTTCCACCTGCCACGTTGGCCACACAATGCTCTGAGTGTCACAGTGTCTGCAAAACTTCGTTGGCAGGACAAGAGGAAACAGCCTCAAGTTGTGCCAGGGGAGGTTTAGGATGAATATTAAGAACATTTTTCTCCTGGAAAGAGTTGTCCAGCCCTGGCACAGGCTGGCCAGGGAAGCAGTGGAGTCACCATCCCTGGAAGTGTTTGAAAAATGTGTGGATGTGGGACTTGACACAGTTTTGTGGTGAACATGGTGATGGTGCTGGTTGATGGTTGGACTTGATGGTCTTAAAGGTCTTTTCCAACCTGAACAGTTCTGTGATTATCTTGTAAAACTCCAAGAAATAGTTAATTAGTTCAAATATGCACTTTGCAGGAACATTCTATTTAAGTGTATTCCGTAAGCAAACTGTCCAAGTTCCAGTTCAGCCATGAATGATCCCTAATTCCAGGGTTTGTTAAACCCAATGTTCTTTCTTACCAAAACAAATTTCAGACTGTTTCAGTGACCTTGTGTGTGTGTTCATTTACTCTGCCAAGGGGTGAGAGAAATTTTGACATCTGTGAATGAAAGTGGTACCTTGTGGGAGTTTTGCGAGTTCACTGTTTTGTTGTAAAGCATTTGAATTTTAAGAGGGGAAATGCTACTGAACACTTTACCAATAATTCCTTTATTTCTGTATAAAATACTGCCCTTGATTTTAGGCAGATTGATGAAAGACACTGGGAGCTTACACCATAATAACCAGTAAAACACATGGACTTGGAGGTCTTTCCCAGACCTTGAGCTGCAGGAGATGCCCCTGGTTTATTGTTTCCTAAAATCAGGCCTGAGACAATTCAGACTGTTTTTAAGAATCAAAATCAGTGGTGGAAAATCTTTTTTTTTTCATGCCTGGTGCCAACAAATGCATTTTGAAAACCCTCTGTAGGCTGGTTTTGTTGGCGCCGGTTTTGGCAGCAGTGGTGGTTTGTCTTCCCTGGAGCTCCCAGGGAGCCTGACCGGGCTGGCAGAGTCAGCAGCAGGTTCAGCTCATGGTATCTGAGAGGGTTCAGGGAGCAGAGAGTGAGAGCTGTGTTTGGAACTGTCAAGACCAGTGTGTGTGTGAAGGGTGTTAGTGCTTGTTCGCCTTTCCCGTAAAGGATGGTACAAAACCGCCGAGAGATGTTCCTGAAAGTTGGCATCTGGAATGGATGGATCTCAGCCACCGGTGCTTCAACCTCCCAGAACCCTTCAGGAACCAGTCCAAGATTTTTGGCAGTTGTTTCCATGTGGGTTTTTCCAACAACATGTTGGATTGTTCACGTTGTCCTTTGGATATCGGGAATGCAGCGAGTCCGTTGTCTCCTCTGGAGCACCATGTGTTTGAGGCACTGCCCTTTTGTCTTCTCCCCACTTTTGTCTGTCTCCTCAGCAGTTACATTTTCTCTTGTAAACATATTCTCACTAGCCATTGAGAACAGCACAGCTATCCAGTGGAAATCCAATAAGGAACATCTTTATGGAGGGAAAACATCAGCAGGCACTAAAAGCCAAAATCCATCTCGTAACAGTGTGGCAGGAATGTGGCCTTCTCACATTATCAGTGATGAAATATTCATGTTAACAGTTTCAGGTTGGTTTTGCAGATGAATTATGAGTAGTCTGGGTTAGGTTGTTCATCTTACTGACGAGAGGTGGAGATCCAGGTGTCCTTGACCCCGAAGTTTCCATATCTGCAGCTAATGGGAGGAACCTTCTGGCTCCTGACTCTTGCTGATCTGGAGCACCTGCCCTTCATTTGTCATTAATATTGATTGCACCAATTAGCAATATGTGCTTTTATTGTTCTATCTCCACTTGTTTTTGTGTTATTTTGTGTCTTACATGTGGATCTTCAGCGATGCGACCCCCACACGGGCTTTATGTGTCTGTGGGGAGAGCTGGAGCTGGTGCTTGTTGTTGGAGGCTTTTGTTCTTCCATTTTATTTGGGGGTTGGGAATTTTGGGGGGCTAAAGATCCTCATGTTGAAATTCAGTTCAACTGGAAGAGTCTTTTATTAGAAACCCACAATCTAAAAACCATCAGTTTGGTGACGATCGCTGTGTTGGAAACTGGTGACTCTCAGACTCTGACAGACAAATTAAGAATACTGAAAGAAATTCTTCATGGTCCTGCTGTTCATCTTGCAGAGAGGGGTGCTGAGATGCTGTTCCAAAGTGTAATTTCTTTAAGGGAGGTGTCAGCACTGTTCAGGAGGAGCACGGGCGAGCCAGGCTCCCCCGTGCCAGTGCCTGTCTCGGAATGACAAAGCAGGATCCTCTCCCTTGCTCTCTTTCTAACCTGTTCATTTTGGTTTTCCTCTCCCCTCCAGGCACCTCCACAGAGAACGACTGTGCTTTTGAACCCGACTACGCAATTCCTCCTCTCCCAGTGACCGAAGGTATGCAGCACATTCGGATTATGGAGGGCATGTCCCGCTCCCTTCCATCCTCCCCCTTACTCACACATCAGTCTATCAGTGTTCGGCTCCAACCTGTGAAGAAGTTAACTGGTAAGGACTTTAATAAACTTCACTGGGGCTTTTAAGGTCCATTGGTGCAAAAATCTGTAAGAAAAAAAGGCTTTTGAAGGGCTTCTGTGTCCAAGTCATTCCCTCGTTTGTTAAAGCAGCTGCTTTGGTCAAACCCAGGGATGGATTGGATTTCGTGCTGACAGAGAAATCTTTCTATTCTGAAAAAAAGATCTCTCTGGTTTACAAATGTTCTCGAGTTTTTTTGAGAAATTTCTAGGTGTGTTTTAGTTCAGCTTTGTGTTGTGGTTTTTGCACAGGGGAAGTGTTACAGTAATTTCAAAGAACTCGATGCTTAAATTTTGAATGCCAAGAGCACATCAGAAAAATTATAAACTTCTACAGCAAAGTGACTTTTTTTTTTTTTTTTGTAATTCATGCATATTTTTAAACTGTTTTGTTTATCTGATTTGCTGGGATTGTGGTTTGAACACCTAGAGATGGTGAAGTAGTTGGATTTTCAAAAGCACTTGGAGTTCAGCATCCATATAAAAGCCTGAAAAAAAGTGTTTCTGCTGGTAACAGTTTGAAAAACTTGTGTTTTGCCTAAAATCTGACCCCACTCTGTGCCCACCTTTAAGAAAAAGCAGCCAGTGTCCTGTGCTTGTACTGAGGGAAACCTCCAAAAAGCATTTTTACTGTCTATAATCCGACCTACAAGGGAGCTCTGATACACTTGGTGCCTTTTGTTTTCCCTGCTCTCTGTTGAAAGGAGAAATTGGGAACAAGAGGGAGAGATTCTGAGTTGTGACAGAGCCACAATTCCATGATTGGGCAGGGCTGCTCTTTGGAGCATCCCAGTAGTTCCTCAAAAGACCTGGAATTCCAGCAGTGGCTTTTGCAGGTGGTAATTCAAGGAGAGGGATGAGGATTCCTCCAAACCCCAGGGGTTGGGCAGCTCCCTGGAGCCTGTGCTCACCCTCCCATGGGGTGGGATAGAGCTGCAGGTGTTCACCTGGTGAAACATTCCTCTGTCAGGGAGATTTGGGAATGACATGCTGTGAGATGTAGGCCTGGAAAGGTTGGGGACAAACCAGGATGGTGTCCATAAAATGCTGAGAACTGTTATTGCACAGAAGCAAGAGAAGAAAAGTGCAGGCTCCCACTTTTGTTCAGGGGTCCATTTTGGGGTCACACACTAAACTCCACTGGGTATGCATTGGGAATGTGACTCCATCTGTCTTCTACTTGCATGCTTTCCCTTTTCCATCTGTTTGAAATCCCCTGTTCCAGCTGCACCCAGGCCTGTCCCAGCCAAACCCCTGCTCATGCTCTGCACGTCCAGGTCTCCATGACTCCAGCAGAGCTCCCCATGCTCTTGGAATTCAGGGGGTGTTTCCCTGCATTGGTGGAGTAGATTTTTAAAATTATTAGTTTAATTTGCTGTTGATATTGTAAAAGGAAGGAGTTTATTTTCCATCCTTCTGCAGTCATGGTAGGAATTTGTTTGCTTTTATAGGGTGATGTGGAAAGGAGCGGGGAAAGCAGCACTTCTGCTCTTTGTTATTCAGAGTATTTATCACGTTTCCTCAACTATTCCTTATGGTCTGTCTCTTATTTACTACTAATCTGAGAGATTTAGAAAGCAGAAATATCCCTCAGCAGCAGAAAGAATCATAGAGTATCCTGAGTTGGAAAGGACCCACAATGAATCATTGATCCAACCCCTGGCCCTGCACAGACACCCCAACAATCCCACCCTGTCCCTGAGGGCATTGTCCAAACCCTCCTGGAGCTCTGGCAGCCTTGGTGCCCTGGGGAGCCTGGGCAGTGCCAACCACCCTCTGGGGGAAGAACCTTTCCCTGACATCCATCCCAACCCTGCCCTGACACAACTTCATGCCGTTGGACAAGGTGGCTGGGGAATGACATTTATCAACAGATAAAAAATTGGGGGTTTATTTTTTGCTAGGGGACGTTGTCTGCCATCTTATATAAAGACCCTCCTCAGTTTTATTCATCAGTATACCAGCATGATAGAAAAAAATAAAGAAAATTAGGAGTTAATATTAGATTTGTGAAGACAACTTCACAGCTTGATGTATTTTTTGATGTGTTTCTCCCCAGTTTCACCCAATAACCCTCCCTGATTTTACAGCAGCCTGGTAAATGCTATCACAGCACACTCCAAACCTGGCAGGATTGATAAGCAACTTGATTCAAAAATCTTCATGTGACTGGGGGAGCTTTCAGATAAAAATAAGGCACCAGGAGCTGAACAGTGAATGCACAGAGAGGTTCCACCCAGGCTCACTGGCTGTCAGGATCCTTGTGGGTCCCTTCCAGCTCCGGATATTCCGTGTTTCTGTGATTCTCTGGTGGTTTCCTCCTCTCCTATGTCTCATTCTGCTGCCCAGTGGTTAATCCTACACAATGTGAGCAGTGATTTCTGTCGGAGAAGGGATGAGGGTGATTCTGGGAGACTGAAGTTACAAAGAGAGGCTTTTGTCTGCCTGACAGTTGCCACATGGATTTTTCAAAGGGACCTTCAGAGCATGGAAAATTGTTGAGAAATTATCCAATTGTAGGGGCTTTTCATGCTGTTTGCTCCTTCCAGACTTTTGTGTGGCACTGCCCCATTCCTGTCATAATTCCATATCTGCAGAGGGGCTGGGGAGAGGATGGGACTGTTTGCTGCATAAAAATCTTCATTGTCTCTTACATTATTTTTTTTTCCTAAAGCTTTAATTCCTGAGACCATTTACCAGATATTTGCAGCAGCCTGACAGAATCTGAAGGGGATACAGAGAAGCCAGACAGGGACTCTTCCTCAGGAACTATAATGACAGGATAAGC